TTGTTTAAACAAAAGGTTGTCTACAGGCTGAGGCGGGACTGGACACAATATGGCAGAATGTTTGGATCTGGTATTTATACAATTCTTAAAAATTCAACAAAGAGTAATTAACATGTTTTGTTATTGTACATGTATATCATAATAGCATCTCAGATATATACGCTGTAATTCAGTTAACAATACGATTTCCAGATGTACCGCTTTGCTATTTACAAACCGACCTTCAAATATATACGTTGCCATACTGTTAACTATATGGTCTTCCAACATACATTGTATCCATGTCTTGTTGTTAACCACCTAAATCTCAAAAGGATGTTTTCATGCTCAATCGAAAACTCTTTGCTCAGACAGCTTTTCTTTTAAATGGCTAGCATGTGACGAAACAGGCCAAAAATAACGTCAAGAAATTAAACACTGCATTAATGGGCTTGAGCAATGAATATTCGTTTAAACATGAAAATTAATTCATAAAAAGACCAAGATGTAAGTATTTATATATTGTTGAGTTACATAGAAATATAGTCATTAATTTGTTTTATTTTTTTATTTTTCAAACGAATTACTGATGGATTGAGATAAGCTATTAACCTTTATAACTATACATTAGTTGTTGATATGGACATTGTAGCTGAGGCAATGGAACCAAGTATTTGACAGATACTATGCCAAAATATAATTGGATAATATTGACCACACTAAAATATCGTGTTCCCCTCACGCGTTTGAATTTCACTGATAACATAATTCATATTTGGAGTCTTCCTTAAAAAATGATCAACTTAGGTTCCGAGTGACTTCAGTACACGAAAACAATGGCGCGACAGCCTGATCATCTCCACTGTTGTGGTATTTATAGCGGGAAGATTAAATATTTGTTACTCCTGTGGAAAGGAAACACGTTTTCCCTCTTGACTAATCATGTTTAATTCTCGAAACATGATTAATACCGGGGAAACATAGAATCGTGTTTCCCTACCATATGGACAAGAACTCATTATGTTCTAGACCGGTTTCATTGGTTTGAGGGAAACATCATGACAGTTGGCACAAATGGTACAGAAAAAAGGAACTAGTCTAGAAAGCCTGCATGGTTTAACGTGTCTTTTGTGCCATTTTGGTGACTCTTCGTCTTCCGAGATTGTCTATTAGTATACAAAAATCGTTTTAAAGACATTGCATCGATAAAAAAATTCACAGAGAAATACATGATTTACGTTGCTGGTATATTTTGGGTGGGGGCTAATGTCTAGATAGAAAACGTTGAAACCATCCCCAAAATCTGTAGGAAGGCCCAATATCCGTCGACTCATCCAGTAAATATGAAGTTTAATATAACAGGCTACGCTGTATTTTCCTGTAATATTCGTTGACAAAGTGAATGAATTATCTCTGATAGAAAACTCATTTGTGTAGGAAAACTCAACGTAAAGAATTATTGCACATGCATTGTCTGATCTTTTCGTCGTACTGTTAGAGTAATCATAGAACGATCTTATGTCAAGTGTTACTTTAACAGAAAATATCGAGTTGTTGCCAATTGAGGATTGTAGCCTGATAGAAACAATATAAATCACGGTGGAAATTGTTGTGTTACCTTTTGTTGAAACAATTTGTTTGAATGTGTCATGAACCAAATAGTACCGTCATAAAATACAATAAAAGCATTGAAGTATAAAGCATTACATTATTGAAACACATCATCATAATCAATTCCACAACGCATCATGGTGATAAATTTGAAGCAACCGTGTTTCATACAATTATACTGGTTAAGTCCTGCAAAAATTAATTAAAACGCTATGCATTTCATTAAAGTAAGAGTTGTCTCCCTTGAAAGACATTTGATTCAACCTGCCTTAAAGTTACATCATATTCGTATTTATCTTGCATGTCTTCTGCTGTGTGCTTTAAATGTGAAATCGATTGATTAATTATGATGATATCTGAAAAAAATAAAAACATATTTTAAAGAACGAGTATCTTTGACGAAGAAGGTATTCTGTATGTATCACCGTAAGATAACATAAATACTTCACACTGAAGTGGGTTTACTTCCGGTTGCTCCTACTCAACAGAACACAGATCGATACCTGTTCAATGCAATAATGTGCTCGTAATGTAAATAGAAAAAATGAAACCGACACCCACACTTTTTCGTTTTATATACCTATCTCGGGCACGTGTTTTCCACCCTCGTAATCTTCGATAGACATCGCTCTGTTATTATTTAAGGTCAAGTATGGGACCTTTAGCTGATAAACCATCAAGTGGGTCAGGTCCGATAATTCAAAACTTTAAACAATCCACTCAGATATTCAAATGTCAGTAATTTCACCTCGCACGTTCGGCAGTCAACCTAGAGTATTATCGCTGGGTGTATCTGATGATATGGTTGGATGGTTAATATATATTATATATAACAGTTGTATTTCTGACTATATTTTGCATGAAAGAAATTAACCTTTTAAGAGCATTTGGGATGATAAAAGTCTTAAATAGTTATTAGATATCCATAAAACTATTGATAAACAGTTGCGATCACTTAGCTCACACAGACGTCACTAAAATAAAGTAATTTGTATTATCTGATATTTGCATGTTTGAAGTCTTCTTATTTCCGCCAAAGGATCTGATGAACACACCTAATATATGCATATATTTTTGTTCCTTTCCTTAATATTCTTAATTCATTTTTCATTTAGTTTTTATTGATCTGCATACAACGGTATCAGGCTTTAGATTTTGTTAATTGTGTTATATGTTTAGATTTTGATTTTCTGTTAAAACCGTAAAGCAGATATATAAATATATTTAAATACGAGACCTAGAGTAAGAACTTCAGCATATGTGATTTAATTCAAGGTGATCACCATCAATAATGAGGTAACGGTTATTTTGTCCGTTTAGATTGAAACAATTATATATTATGATCAGTCAAGTCATACGGAGTTTTACCTACGTAATTCTATGTAAAGGGTAAATTAAAAATAAGAACATCTGTATGCCAAATAAAACAATTCAAGACGCCATAGATTGTAACTGTGATCCAGGAGGTGAATATATGTGCAAACAATACAACCTCACACAGATAACTCAACATTGTAAGACAAGACACTAGTTGTCTACATTTCTTGATGATATTATCATACATCAACAGCCGTATGATTCCCCAGCATATCCGACTAGTAGTATTATAGAATATATTGATTACAAAGCAGAGAACCTATATTGCTAACATGTTAGACTTTATTAGTTTTGCGACCTTGGAGATAAGCCGTTTTATTCACAATTACACCAGGGCTTACAACCGTTCGTCTCTGTGGATGTTAAATCGAATCTATTCTAGTGGTCCTTTCCGACATCCGTTCAATAAGGTCAACTCGAACAGATTGTTAGGCAAACGTTGGGCCAATAAAAGTGTAGTCACATGTAATCGATAATGACGTTCCACAAATACATACACAATAATGTACTAATCTTTGGCCAGGATCATACATAGCAATACCACATTGGCCCCTGAAAAAGTAACCTCGCGCGAAAGTGTAAAGTGTGTCAATCTTTTCACCTTTTAATAATACTAATATTCTTAAAAGTTTCAAATAAACTATTCAAAATGATAACTTAAACATCAAAATTTGAATGAAACAAGATTTTTTCATTTCATTCGTATAATAAAATAACAACTTCACTATTTTTAAAAATACGGTTATTGACTGAGGGGAGTTTTTCCCAAAGTGCTAGAGTTAAATACGTTTATTTGTTTTATTTAGAAAAGAACACGTTAGATAAGAAATATCAAAATGTTCTTGGGTTTCTCTGAATTTGTTTAAAATGGGATTTAGCACGGACAAGGGAGGTCATTTATGCATCTTTATTTCAATACTAACATGTTTAATTTGTTTCTTAATAATATGATGCATTCTATCAATTAATTTGTTTTTTGATTTGAATAGATTTTGCATGTTTTCTTTAAAATAAATGCTGTAGTTGTATTTTTTACAGTAAATGATTACATTGCTCTACAGGATTGAATTCATTTGAGATCGTGGTTCTGTTGCGTATGATTTATAGACATAGGTATTTTCATTTTGTACAATCACAACCGTGTCAAATTGTAAATAGAATTTCGCAATTCAACGTTTCCATATCCAGAGAGTAAACTAAGCAGGCAATATAACAGAAGGAAAGACGCAATTAGTATACTGCACGTACCCAACTGTACAACCGAAACATGCCGTAAAACGGAATCCGGAAAGGGCGTTTAAATAGTAAATACGGTGTCCCATCAATCCCGACATAACCACACATTTTGTCACGTAGATGAGCAAAACATCACCGCTCGACTTTCGTTACGTATTCACCCACATGATGTGGGTGTGGTAGCCGTGGCAAGCAGCACGAGTGTGCACTCGACAGAAGTGCAAACAAATAAATGACAAATAATAGAAACAAAAATAAACTTTGAAATTAAAGATGAAATACATAGATTAGCTAACGAATTTTGATATTTGTAATGCCGTTTATTTATAGGACATATTAAAAGTCTAATTAACGTTATTTACTTGTCAAGTCATTAACAGGTATGTTCTGCAGGGTTGTGTTACGTCAGAAATATTCTAGAATGTATGTAGAAGGGGTGACTCTAACTTATCGTAAAGCTATTCGGAATCTTGTACATCACCGCCCAGTTTCACATCCGCTGACGACCGTCCTACTGATAGTAATGATATCAGCCTCCCTCTGACACACAACGCAAGCTCTGAGTAAGTAAAAGTTTGCAGACAAAGTCAACAAGTAGCCATTAGTTGCTAACGATACCTTGATATGTCATCCGTCTAACTTCCGAAATCATCAAAGTAGAAACTCTCTTTCGCCTCGCTCATCAATGGGTCGAGGTGTAGAGTTTAATCCGAATGTTCCATTTGAAATGAACAACATCGTTAGAAAGATGCCCAGTCCAATGTTGTGTTTCATTTGTAATTCTTTTTGTTGTGATAATGGACTTACTAGAGGAGGAGGACAATTGGACACCTGTTCTTTTACGTAGAGTGTACGAGGGTTTTGTAAGTAATTAATTAGTGATTACGTAACATCTACTGGATTTGTATTAATTAATGGACATCTATTATTTAGGGTTAAGTACACTTTATTGAAAACTTAATTTCATTAGTGGACACTTCTTCTCTAACGTAATGTGTAGTGGATTTTTATTAATTAGTGGACATCTCTTCCTTTAGGTAAAGTATATTTGACATTTGTAATCAATTAGTGGACAATTCCCGTAGTTAATTAGTGAACATATATTCTCTAAAGTAGTATAATTACTTAGTGGACACTTCTCTTACGTAATGTGTACCTGATTTGTTTTAATTAATTGACAAACCACATCATATTCTCATGGGAAAGTATATTGGAACTTTATTTTATTAGTGGATATGTGTTATCTGAGGTTAAGAATATTAGAGATTTATAACAAAATGGACAATATTGGAACATTAAATATGCATTAAGTGGATATACGTTTAACTTAGGCAAAGCATTTTGGAAATTGCTTAATTATTAACGGATATTATTGGAACTTTCTGTACGCATTAAGTGGACATATATAATAAGAAATTTTGATTTTATTAGCGGTCTCTACAGGAACGCTACGTAGTAACTAATTGATCATAGGTTTTCTTAGATCAATATATCAATCAGCAATCAGTTGACAGTCTTACCTTAAGTAAAGTTATTTGATATTTAAAATGTATTAGTTGACGTTTGTTCCGTAGGTTATGTATATTGGTAATTTGTTATTAATTAGTGAGCATTTGTTCAACGATATGAAGTGTTTTGGAATTCATTACTGACCATTTTTCCTCGGGAGTTTATTTTAAAGAAGACCTTTGGGACATCTCTAACCTTATGTAAAGTATATTCGAAATTTGTAATTAAGCAGCGAACATCTGTTCACGGAATGAAATGTATTAGGCACAGAAATATGGATGTGGAATTTATCAATATTTCGAGGTCTGTCCTCTAACGTAATATGTACCAGTGATTATAAGTGTTTGATTATTTGACATCTGTTTTCACAAGAAAGGTTTACTGAAGACTGTAAAATACTAATGTATGGTTGTATATTTAAAATTAAACCTATCTTTATGAAAACATCAAAAGTAATTGGACGCATGTTATGACAACTTACAATTGTCCTTTTCCATTAAACATTTTAACAATTGCACCATTGATATAATAACCAGCATCGTCGTATTTCTCATTTGTAAAGGTACCGTAATAGAGGCGTACTAGTACCAGTAAATAGTTACTTCGCTGACAACTATTCTTTTTGATTAATTTTTCCGATGACTGTTAGTCACATCGTAACTAATATTTAAGTAATTACAAATGCTTTATGACCTTCATCAATCTATAATTTTGTAAATAATTGATAGGAGTTCATCTTTCTCCTTATTAATTAAATGGAATTTGTCCCTCGTGTTATGTTTATTTGAGGGGTTGGTGTGGGCTGTAAGTAGTGGCACATGTCTTTCACGTTATGGTTATCAGAGGATTGGCTGCAGTGTCGGAGTGAATATGTGACACTGTGAAAAGTAAAACGATACGCCAATCCAGTTATTTTATCAAATAGTTGATAACTTGGTTCAATATAAACTATTGCCGTCGTGAAAACACAAATATCAGCCATGTTAATAACATAATACAAAGGTAATGTAGATGGAATTGACCAGAAACATTGTTGGTAAATATAATTGACATATTGGTCTTTGATACTCAAAAAATGTTCCAATCTTAATCCTTTCATACAACATGTATTTAAAAAAGGTTGACTGATTTGTTAACAAATAAGAACTTATTTTAAGAGCTATGCGACATAGATAAAATTATAAAATGAAAGTGGATGTTCAGCAAATGGCGGGGTACATAATTTTTTGAATGATTTTTCTTTTGACAACGTTTTTTGAAACGAGGCAGCACTTTACCTATCGCATTTCTATGGTGGACTGTGGCATAAAACAATTATACATGTAGTCACCTACATATACTGTATACCGGGAAATTGTCGCTTCAGTTAAATTGTTGCCCTTTTTTCTTCCTCCATAATGAGAACGAATTTAAAATTACAAAAAAAAGAATAATGTAGAGAATCTAATAATGATTACATAATTATATGTGAAGGTCGACATTAGGACTTGGCGAATATTGATTTTATCGTCGAAGAGCGAAATTTTCCCGGCATGCAATATATTTACTAATCGGTCATTCCCAGGACTTTAATATCACAACATTCTTTGTCTACAATTTATTGAATGTTCATAACTCAGCCATCTGTCATTGTTTGTATAACAATCTGAATCCACTTTCAAAGCCGCAGACCTCTAATTTCGTCTGCTTATCAAAGTATGAATTGTGTTGAAACACTATATTGATAATTCTTGGTGAACGCCGATGTTCAATATGTTTCATCATGTGTTGTCATTTGATAGTCACAATAATAATGTCTTTCATTTGTAATTATTTATCATTTTGACACATCCATTGAGTAAGCAATATATCAAATGAGAGATTCGTCATTTTGTGGAGTGATCTTCCCGACAACGGACACTGTGAAGGTGTAAGACCTCCCAACGGCGGCATTTCTTAAGTCTTGACCTTTAGCAGAGTTCTAAATAATTGGCCCGACCCTTGGTAGTCGGTATAAGGGATCATGTATTCGAATAACTAATGCTGCAACGGCAAAAACTAAATTGCGTCAATACGTTATATGTGTCTCCCTGGAATGTGTAACATAAAACGATGACACCTCTGTTTTTGCATGTATACAGAACTCTACAAATAGCAAAGTACAAATAAGGAGAAGAAAGACGTGATAAGTATATAAAGACGAATTGAATGATAAATAAGTTGAGAAGGAAAAGTTTATAATCTTCATGGTAATACATAAGATCATTCCTTGATATTGTTTGCTACCCGTTGAATTGTATCCTGTGTTATTTTCTGATTGTTATCGGTGTGAATCCAAAACAATGGATATCAGCATTGATTGTGTCACGATGATGTTTCTCATATTAATTTTAACATTGCATCTGAATCGCCAAATCGCTTATAACTATACTATCAATAGATAATAGACAATACCTGTTGTCATCGTTTCATCAATTAGAGCCTAGTGTCTTCTTCACCTTTTGTTGTGGTACTTAATGTTTTCTGCTGTAAGTCTCTAGTTTCAACTTTAAGTTTATAAAGAATGCAGGTAACACTCATGAGTCCATGTGGTACAGTTAAGTGTTTACGTTGGCTTTCTGCTTAGACTAATGACGTGTTAGAGTTTTTTTCCAACCTTGTTTTATTGGTGATTATTATAAGTTATGTACTATGTGACGATGGTGTGTTTTTAAAAAATATTTTTCTTTTGTTTTGATTTGTTTTTTGTAACGATGGACAATAAAAATACATATTTCGGTTTGTCATATATATTCTGAAAGCCTTTGTATTGACAATGAGGAACACTATTGGTTTATATTTTCTTTATTTGTTTGTTTATTTTTTCTTTCAAGATAGAATAAAAAGTACCATATTTTATGAATTTTTCCTTTGGTCCTTTAAAGTTTAACTCTACTTACTGTAATAGTGGGAATGGCCAAGTAATGTTTACGCTTAAAGCATTTCTCGTTATGTGAATGTGAGAGTATATTATATAATGTATCTGTCCTTATTTAGAAAACTTGGAACTAGTGAACAATTACTTTACAATCAAAATATCAACGATATAAATAGGCATTTTAATCATTTCGTACAAATGTTTTGTACTGGTCTTTCATTATAAATTATATTAAAAAATAGAATGCACAATTCTAATATTAATCCAAATGATTGTATTAGTTACAGCACAATAAGGTCCCGGAGACAAAGCCGGAGGGACCAGTAGTTAGGAGGACGATTCCTCTCCCGACCACGAACGGTTTTACTAGTACCGAGAACTTAGTCATGAAATCCGACATGATGCATGTAAGTAATTCCTAAACTTTATAATACTTCATATTTAAAGAGGCATTAACTATCATACAACCTTTACTTGTCGCTGAGTCAAATTATACGCAGTCGATAATATAAGTTGTTTGCGCAGTTTAATTGTCGCGCGTCACCTCTAATATGTAATAGACAAACTGTGTAAAGTGATTTTTTGTGTTTAAGAAAGAATTAAATATAGAAAATGTTGAAAGAATGTTTAGTTTTGTTTGATACCTCACCTGTAAATATTTAATCTAGCAATCGAAAACCGCATCATAACTGCAGAATGTTTTCATCAACAATAATGGAAGGTGTAGTATGTTTAAGTTCGGAAAAAAAACTTTGGAATTACCTATGATATACCAGTATGCATTTGAATACACAAACATGTTTGTAGACAATTCAAACTGAGGTGTTTCGGTAAGTATAAAGTAGTTCGTCTGAAAAGGTAGCATAAATTCACATACACAAGTTCATTTTCATGTTAAAAAATGTTACACACTTTAACAGCTGAGACCTACGTGATAGTACCGAGAAGTAAACATACACATAACCACTAATCCTTTGTTTTAACAACCGGCGATAATGACAAGCCAGGAGTACTGCCACATCAATAGATTGTAAGGCCTTTAGGGGAAAACGCCTTCACGCCTATAACACATTGCGGTCTACCTATATCCACGACAGTGCTTAAAGTATCATGACCCATATGTAGTTCTACTGAATCTAACAATTAGACCAACGTCTTTGATTTTATCTTGGGTCAAAGAAAATCTAATAACTCCCTTATTTGTTTAAGGCTAACAACACCGGGATCGTTAATCCCGCCTTCACTGAGAATGTCGACAGCGTCAACACAGAGACGCCATCATGGAGTGACACGAGCAGCACCAGTGACAACAAAGATCCGAACAGCTCACGCGCGTCAACGCTGACAAGAACTATGGAAAACGATACACTTCCGGAACCGGACCGGAACTACAGCGTCATTAATGAAACAAGGGACTCAACCCTGTAGGTGTCCTTCAGGAATTATATAATTTTAAGCAAATAGATTAAACGTAAAAATAAATAAAAAATCTAATGAAATAAAATTAAATGCATTGTATCGAATACTTGATATTTTTGACAAGTTGAACGAAAAATAATTAATTACATGTATGTTGTTTTTATCGTAAATCATTAAATTTGAATATATTTATCATGTTCAAATAGTTGCATTGTCATCGGCCTGGTTTCTACAATATAAACAATTTGTCTTACGTATTTGATTCTAAATACTTTCTTATTTGTATATTCAGAACATCAAACCTTGACAAAAAGACAGGCATCAAACCATGGGACGTGTTTCGTATTATGCCGAGGAAAAGCTCCTCTGTATTCGATGACTTGTTTGTGAACGTTATAAAGAAGGTTGTCAAGGTGATAACCAGTATATTCCTGACGCTTTTCATCATGATGATGACAATACTTAGCAAAAGTTTGTTGTTTCTCATAACGTCGAACATTTATACGAATGTGACTTTGGATTGTGTGACAACGCTGTTACCAAGGGAAGTGACGTCATGTCGTCGAGTACTTCCAGACGAACCTTTGAAGGACACGTTTCAGTTTTCACAGAACGTAGAAATCCGGTGGGTCTGGGCGTTGTTCATTGTAGTGTGCACGCCCTACATATTCACATGTGCTAAATCCGTTTGGAGAGTTTGTTTCAAGAAGACGCGGCACACCAGGTTCCGGGTGTTAGCGTTGGTAAGTCAAGTTCCGAATGTTAGCGCCTGTAAGTATCAGGTTCCGAGTGTAAGCTTTCCTGAATATAGTACTAGTCCTTTCATGGATATAATTTACTTAATTCAGCCTGTGTACCATGAATCTTATTCTGATGATAATTAAGTAACTGATATTATTTATTCTCTTCGATTTTACAATAGGAACAATAGTCATGGTTTTTTTTATTAAAAACCAACGCTCATTGCACAAAGAGTGCACTCGGTAACGACAATACCCATCATAATTGCCTAAATAAAATTATGTTGCAGTGAATTTTGAAAATGATCCGTTTCACATATGAAAGAACAATAAATTATACTTCATAAAATATAGCTAGTGGTCTATTTTATTTATTGTAGAAAATATCTAATCTACAAGAAAAAAACAACACATTATTGGTTATTCTGTTATTACAAATGTCTATTGAGAATCACATTTTTTCCTACAGGTTCTAGTCATTGAAACATTGCACTCCCTAGGGATCAGCATCTTCGCCTTTTATCTGCTCCCTACATTAGACCCCATCAGAGGGCTGCTGTTGACTTTCGGTGTAGCATTTTTACCGTCTCTTCTTAAGATATTCGACAACCAGAGTGAGATTGGTAAACCAGTTTATCTATTGATAGCTGACTTTTTCGCAATGCTGTTCCAAGCATCTGTGTTGATCCTGTGGCCAGCGGTCAACTTAACACGTGGTCAAAACTTGAGTGAATCTTGGTCGATTCTCGTGTCACTGTTTCTTATTTCGTTAGGATGGTGGGAGAATTATGTCAACACATTCACACATCTGGGAAAATTCGGGAACGCTTTGAAGGAATTTAAAAAGAATATCCGTCGGATGAGAACGCGAATATATATGATAGTCAGTTTCTGGAAGATCCTGGTAACGTTTGGATTTATGCTGGCGTTAATGAGTGAATTCAAGGCTCCATGTGTTGCGGAGTTACTCTACCTTGGAGACGACAAGGCGATGGAGTGTCCACACTTTGTGAATCCTTTAAATGCTGCCAACGTAGAAAGCACTAATTACATGAACGACCCATTCTGGATTAGTATAGTACAAGTATTCTCCTGCCTTCTCTGTTACACGTTCGCTAAATCAGCGTGTAAAATTCTCCTACAGGTCGTCAGCTTTGCACTGCCGTTGATGTTAGCGGCTCCAATAATGTTAGGTCTCTTCATGGGCAACTGTGAGTCTTTTAAGTTGAATGGCTCCACGGGGCCACTGATGCCCGACTACCTTTACTGGACGTGTGATATTCATGGAATATCCTACGACTTCCTGGATAGTCTCGTTTCAGACTACTATCTTCCCGTCACACTCGGGTGGTGGTTGTCTTTCATGTGGGTCACCTTCCATATATGGATTCCACGTGTGGAGCGGTTAGCGCAGACAGAAAGGTATCGTGTTAGTTATTGCAATTAATGAATTAACATTTCAACAATAAAACGTTTCACGTATGAGTATCATTTTTATAAATATATATCAATTCAATGAAGGCATGGAGACTTTGGATAATATTTTGTCTCGTGACTGCCATAGAATTTCTTGATTGGCTGTTAAAAACCTGTTCGAAATAACTAAGCAAAGCATAATTACTTTATCAAAATATAAACATAAATAATGAATATTTTAGTTAATATTGTTATGGTCGTATAAAACACATTTGCATTGCATCAATATCAATGTGTGATATAGGACAATAACAACACTTGCTAAAACATTCATTGGTTAAATATTGGCAATATCATGCTTGTTGTTAGCGTAACAACTTATTCAACAAAACAGTTCAAACAATGTGAAAGATTTACCTTACTTTTTACCTTATATTGAAAAAGTTGAAAAGAATCATAAGAACGTGTTACATTAGTAGTAGTTCAGTTTTTATAATTCCTTTAACTAAACGCCAAAAGCTGCTTAAAGTACAAAAAGTACACGGTAGCCATATATAATGATATGAATAACTGGTCTTGACAGAAATTTATGTTAAGGCCATCGACCTTTTACCATTAAATACCGTTTTCCAGCACATATGTTGGTCACAATACAACCATGTTTGCCTCAACACATGCTTAAGAAACCTGGAATTGAAAAACCGCAAAAAAGTTAATATCTTCTTACCAAAGTTTTGAATATCATAAGCACATTTGCAAAAGTGTGATTGTTTCAAACAAAATAACATATCTGAAGAAGTTGTAATCTTCTGCTTAAAATGTCAATAGCTTTTTCTATTTATTGTAATTACATTATTTTACAGACTTTTCGTTCAGCCACTTTATTGCGGAGTACTACTCGAACAATCTCTGATGTTGAACAGACGTCGAGACGATAAAGACCGAGAATCTCGGGGTTCCGAAAAGGTAGAGCGTTTTTTCCTAAGCAAATCATATCTGCAGCCATCTTGTAACATATGCTATCTTGGTACTATAAATGTTCTTGTTTTAGCAGTTTTCTTGCTTTAGCGCATTCAACAGTGCTAACAGGAAAATACACATTTTTCCGAATAACACATCATCAAGTAATTAGTCAGTTGCGCGCAAATATATGACTGCACTGAAAGATGAGATGTATTTCATCATATATAAGTATGTTAATATAGGTATGAATATTGAATGTTGACTAAAAGAATACAGTTACTATTTCAATATTATTATACGGCCCTTTCTATATAGTAATTTATCAACCTGAAACCCCATATAAACCTTTGTGGAGTTAGAGGCCCGAGGGTTGAATCATTGTATGAGGTAATTGGTATTACGTGGTAGGATATGAAACTTGCAATACCATATAATATTTGTCATGTAATACGCACATAAAATTCATTAAGTTATTAGTCAAGGCAGAATTATTAATTGCACTCGAAAAAGAGCGGATAGTGCACGTGCTTTGCAGGCATGGCGCGTGCCGTCTTGTCCGAGTACTCTGGTTTCCTCCCACTATTTTTCAGACTATAAAGTTAGCCTGACACCTCTTTGTGTAGTCAGAAAATAATTACGTATGATGTGAAAAAAAATAAGGATCTGAAATGTTTTAACAAAAAAACAGCAAAACATACTTCATTTTACATTGACAGGTGAAAAAGTTTACAGAGGAGAATACGTACATGTCTGCTGACAGGCTAGGGGAAAGGATGCCCGGTGGGAGGGGGCTGTTCGGTCAATCAAACATCACACCCATGATTTATGTGTGCGCCACAATGTGGCACGAGACTAGGAAAGAGATGAGTCAGATGCTGACGTCACTTTTCAGGTACGCGAGTATTTTCTATAATAATTTGGCATTATTCGATTTACAAAGAAAATATAACATGATATGTTTTGTATACATACGTCGACTAATATGAATACCAATCTTAGAGTATTTGCTTTTAATGTCACGTTCTACCGAATTCTTTATCATTACATTTTTATTTATGATAATTAGCCTTTTACGCTATTGGTAACTTATCATCTCTTTTTATGATCACAGCATAAAATGAAATTAATAAACAAATGATTTTCGAACAAGTTTATTATTATTATAGTAAAAAAGTCAAAACAACTGATCTAGCTTCAACCGAGGTAACGATAATGTATAGGTTCGTTAATGCGACCATGTGATGCTTTGGACACATTTTGATATCTATTTGTTGATGACAGTGTCTCGATGATATGACACTATATGATATGATCTTTCTTCCAGACTAGACAATGATCAATGTGCACGAAAGAATGCGCAGAAATTTTTCGATGTTGTGGATCCAGATTACTACGAATTCGAAGGTAATATATATATATAACTGACTATGAGTTCAAGGGACAAGACCTCCCTCATCAATACCGTCCTCGTGAGGAATGCGTGTGTTTCTGTTTTATTTAAATACTTGGAAGACAGTAAAACTATTATAAAATATTATAAAATTAAAAACAAGTTATTACAACTATTTAACATCGAACAGCGCTGTTCACGTAGTATCGCATCCTGAAATAGAATTATTACACATGCCAGGATACTTGTATATATATTTATCTCTTAATATTTGCAGTCCATATATTTTTCGACAATGCTTTCGAGGCGCACGATGATGACGAATACGAGTACCACGCTAACACCTTCGTCAAACAGATGATCAATGTGCTAGACGAAGCTGCTAGGTAAGTACCTAAATGTGTTGTTGTTTTTCGTCATGTTCTGAAATATCAAGGTTTTATATTTTTTAAGATTTTCGTACGAGAACGCCTTTGATAATGATTTCCGATTGACATTTCTTCATCTACATCAAAAAAAGAAAATACTGAGGACAAATAGGTAATACGTTTTAAATAAGGAGATAGACGCTGTGTCTCAGTCCAAGACAACATTATTTTAGTATGTTGTTGATAAAAAGAAAAAAGCATTCCTATACAAAACACTACCAGAAAATCATGCCTTTCTTTCAAGTATTTTGTTATATTTCCTATTTCATTTAAAAAAAACTGTCTAGTTTCAACGATTATAAAAGTAATGTGTCCAAGGTGATTGTGAAGACCTCATCCCAACAAAGTAATCAACACCTAAAGGGGTTAGCCTAGATTTATAATTATTATATTATTGATTTTTATAAAAATATAAACGTGTTTACTTGTTTGTTTTTTAACAGTAAAGTACACAAGGTGATGGTGAAGATCTCTCCCCCTACAAAGTACCCGACACCTTACGGGGGAAGACTGGAATGGACACTTCCGGGTAACAACAAACTGACCGTCCACCTCAAGGATAACGCCAAGATACGCCACAAGAAACGTTGGAGCCAGGTACGAATCAAACTTTTACCAGTAATGTATGTTCAAAACGGTTACCAAATTATACTAAAACAATCGGTATAATTAATGTATAAAGTAATGCATATTAAAACAATTTCTGTAGATACGGATTAAAGACGAACCTATTTGATAATTAAGTATGCAGAACAAGATCTTTTTTTAATCAAATATGCATTATTAGCAAAGTATACAGCAATGCATACCATCTATTTGTAGTAGAGTATTTAAACTATTATCATTAACGTACATGTACAGTTTCTGTTATGTAAAGCAACTATTCCCAGTAATATAAGTATTCCGTCTTTGCGTATTGCAGAGTATCTTCTCTTGTGAGCAGGTATTGATTGTTACGTCATTGGTTTGTGTGAGAAAATTACGTCGTTTTCTTAAAAATTGATGACGTTACTCTCACAATCAAATGACGTAACAACCTTTACCTGCTCACAAGAGAAGATAACTCTGCAATACGCAAAGACGGATATAGTGTAATAACTATATATCTGAGGTTTTCTAGTGGGTTTTTTTACTTTTAGACAAATGTTTTCACAGCATTATTTTAGTTTCACACCATCGTCCTATTGTGATGGGTTAATCTACCTGTTTGTACATTGTAAAGAAGCATCACTGGTCAATTTACTTGTTGTGTAACGATAAGTCCTTTTTATATTGTCAATCAATATACTTGGAATGAATTGAAAGTGAGGTGTCTGTCATTGTCACACTGTAGGTAAATGTAACAGAGTTTGAAAGTGAGGTGTCTGTCATTGTCACACTGTAGGTAAATGTAAAAGAGTTTGGAAGTGAGGTGTTGTCTATCATTGTCATACTGTAGGTAAATGTAATAGAGTTTGGAAGTGAGGTGTTGTCTATCATTGCCATACTGTAGGTAAATGTATGTGAACAAACTAACAAACAAATACCTACTTAATTATTCTGTTTGCCAGGTTATGTATATGTACTACCTGCTAGGATATAAACTAGTGGCACAGCCTCTGGACGCTCGCCGGAAACAGAAACTCGCTGACAACACATTCATTCTGGCATTGGATGGAGATGTGGACTTCAAACCGTCAGCAGTTCAACTTCTCGTGGACAGAATGAAGAAGAACGAGAAGGTCGGGGCGGCTTGTGGTCGGATCCATCCTATCGGAACTGGTACGCTTAAACGCCAGCATGTTATATTAAATATCATACAGCAATTTACCGTCGGCAATGAATTCATAGTCGTTTCAGTGACTGCAATGTTTAACGAATGAATTACTGTATACTTTGAATACAAAAAGAGGCTTAAATACAATTAACTCTAGCTCAAAAGTAACAACACATGTCAGAATTGGTTTGAAAAATACAGACTGAATAAAAATAAAGGCTTAAATTAACTGTAGCTTGATAGCAAGAAAAATATGTCGGAATCGGTTTGATTAATACTGACTATCTATCACGGTGTTTGTGTTGTGAAATATATATCAAAAGTAATTGATAATTTATTTCATTGTTTTATTCGTCTACATTGCATTACAAATTATGAAATTTAAAGTTATACTTGAAATCAGTTTGATTATGTTTCAAATAGTAGTTTTTCTTATTAAACACTATCAATTTAAGAATATAAATATATCGGAATGAGGAGATAATTCCACATTTTTTTTTTATTATACACTTCATGCATCCGTTCACAAGCCGTTAAGTTTTTGAAATTAAAAGTAAAAATACACAAATCCACCGCATTAACAAGTACATAATTAAATTGTGTTTCAGGCCCAATGATATGGTATCAGAAGTTTGAATACGCCATAAGTCATTGGCTTCAAAAAGCAACAGAACATATGATTGGCTGCGTTCTGTGCAGTCCCGGATGTTTCTCTCTGTTTCGCGCTTCATCCCTGATGGACGACAACGTGATGCGGAAGTACACTACAATTTCCACCAACGCCAGACATTACGTACAATACGATCAGGGTTAGTATTCACGTGCTTCAGTGGTATCCGTATTTGTCACAGTGCAAAAGAAATTCAGCAGCAGTCCATTAGTTAACCACTCTGTTAGGCTATATTTGCATTCCATCCCCATAAGTTTATGCGTATGTGCCATGAACATAAATTACCTACGAAGAGATATCACTACCACGTGTTGTGGGTGTTGTCTGGCAAGAGCAAACATGGCACTTTGAGAAGTGTCTGTCATATCATCAATTTGAAATTGGTTAAGTTTATTTGATGATATATATTTAGCAGTGTGCTTCCTGTCGTCCATTGCACGCTCTCTCAATTAGCATTATTTGTTCCACAGAGGCTCGCTTAACATCAATTGTCATGTGACCAAATTAACCCAAAACAAAACCAGTCAAAGACCGGATGTAGATATTTTCCACGCAACTGCAATAGTGAATCAATGCAATAAACGATTGTCTGAAGTAAGCACGGTGTAAACTGCGGTTGTAAGATATGTAACTTTTGTTTTTAATTCTGAGTCTTTGACAAATATTACTTTGACTTTTCAATAAATATAGATGTATATTTACATAGATCTATTTATTTGTACCCTGTAGGTGAAGATCGTTGGCTATGTACTCTACTGCTGCAACAGGGATACCGCGTAGAGTACTCAGCAGCCGCTGACGCGCTGACCTATGCCCCGGAAGGATTTAATGAGTTCTACAACCAGAGGAGACGATGGGCACCTTCGACCATGGCCAACATCATGGACCTGTTGATGGACTGGCGAAACGTCATCTCTATCAACGAGAATGTGTCAGGTCTTTACATGTTGTACCAGTTGCTCCTCTTCATTTCGTCCATGGTCACCCCCGGAACCATCTTCCTCCTTATTATCGGGGCCTTCAACAGTGCCTTTCGGATAGACCTCATTACTTCTATGCTCATCAACCTCGCTCCCGTGGTTGTGTTCCTGATTGGGTGTTTTGTACTGACGCCGAAATGGCAGGTTAGTGTCGTAACGATCGATTAATATTTCCATTATTTAATACTCGACATGAATTAGCATAAAAGCAATATTTTAATTGCACTCACCATCGTATTTCAAACAAACGCATTAAACACAATTAAGTTATTTTATGCTGAAACAAGGCAATGTAATACATATTTTGAATAAACTCACATCTCCGGGAAAATTAACTAAATAAACGAAGGGACATAACTCTGTATTAGTTAGGTCACGTGACCCAATTCTCACATGTAAATGGTCACCATCAATATGATTCAAAGTAAAAATTACTTATGGATGGAAAAGGGGAGTGCAAACCTGTTATCACTCTAAATATTTAACATCACGCTTTTGGTATTGTCTTCCAGCTCCGTCTGGCAGGCGTGCTGTCTCTGATCTACTCTATGGTGATGATGATTGTCATTGTGGGTCTGGGCCTGGAGATCAAAAGAGAGGGAATATGTTCGCCGACCACAATTTTTCTCGTTTTCCTCGTGGGAGCGTTCATTATAGCAGCGATGCTCCATCCCCAAGAGTTCACGTGTCTGTTACACGGCGCCCTTTACTTCTTGGCGGTACCAAGCATGTCCATGCTGCTGATGATCTACTCAATTTGTAACATGCACATCGTATCCTGGGGTACCAGAGAAAACGCCGTGGCATCGAATCCAGCGGAGCCAAAGAAAGCCACGAAGTCTCATAAAATTTCGTCTATAATGGACAAGTTCAAAAACAAGAACCATGAGGATAGTGACTATGCATTCTCGTTCGGAAATCTGTTCAGGTGTCTCTGTTGTCCTAAACCACACGAGGATAAGACAGGGGAAACATTCGCCGCCATTTTAGAGAAGCTCGATGGCCTTGAATCGGCAATGTCTAAGAAAAAGGAAGCCGTGCAATCTACAGATGCTGGAACACACGTGACTGAGGACGATTTGAGTGGAAAGGGGACACTGGATAGTCACCGTAAGCGCTCGGAGGAGTCAGGCATACGATGTAAGTACACAAATCCGAGGCTAATTCGTTAACGATATTTAATCGATTTAACGGTAATGGATTTAAAGAAGCATTTCTCCCACAACACTATAGGTCAACTCACTCTCAATTCATTGGATAAACCTGCTAGGAGTTGGTAAACATTTTCGGTTATCCACTAGTGCTTACCACCCTGGTCGTGATTTCATTGGTCAATATTGTACTTCTGACGTCACGTAACAATGCTTTGCGACGTCATCTCCCTTTGTGACGTCATGATTCACGGCAATTGTTTCCCCCATCAGAGGCACACATAGTGTATTTCAAGAGAAACATATGGCTTTCCATTTCATATATGAACGTTATGAAAGAAAAAGAATCGCAAACTCGTGATGGTAGGTTATCATGTTTATCTAACTCTCGTTAGGTAATTTTAAAATTATAAAAGACACTCGGTAAATCTCGTGTCTTTATACAATTTAAAAATTAACTAACTCTAGTTAGATAAACATGATTACCAACCTTCACTCGTTGGGGAATCTCTATATAACTGGTCCAGAATGGTTTTGGGTTATTTCCCCTACTACATGTTTGTGTTCAACTCGAAAAGTAGAATGAAATAAATGTCACATCTAGCAATGAAAAGTGTTTTTTTAATGTTTTTTTAATACACTTTAGTAAATATTCTCCTAATTCATGTTTTCTATTTCACTTTTCGAGGTTATCTCCCCTACTACATATTTCTGTTTTTCTGAAGGTTTGCTCTCATATAAAACATTTTGTTCACTTCTAATTAATTGAGGTTATATCCCTTACAAGACATATTATTTTTTAATCTACAAGATTATCTACCCTAATACAAATATATTTCTGTTTTTAATTTTCAATAGACAAGATCCCCTAATAAACATTTCTATCTTATATCGGAGATCATTCCCCTGCTATGTATTTCTTTTTATTTTACTTATGTTTTAATAAAAAAAAAAAAACAGATGAGGTTATCTCTCTCACTAAATCTTTTATTTTTGTCCACAGATAACCCGATTTATCACAACAAGGCGATGCCCCACGAAGACGATACGCCCTATTGGATCCACGATCCCGATATCGGACACGGTAAAATCCGCTACCTCAACAAGGAGGAGAAATCTTTCTGGAAAGACTTAGTCGCAAAATATCTCTTTCCACTAGAAAGCAACGAAGCACAGAAGAAAAAAATGACGAAAGATCTCGAACAGCTTCGAAACAAAATCAGCTTGATGTTTTTCATGATAAACGCCCTCTTTGTGATAATCATATTCAGCTTACAGTATTCCAATGCTACTAGTATAGGCGCTGACGGGAAACAGGGATCCGGATTGTCTATCCCACTTCCCTGTCACGATACTGAGACAGGTAAACTTCTATCGCTCGAACCCATCTCACTCCTCTTCATGTCAGTGTTCGGTATTGCTCTCGTCATCCAGTTCATCGCCATGTTTTTCCATCGTCTGGCAACCTTCCTGCACATCATGGCATCAACGGAGGCTAATTGCATGAAACCAAACCAGACTGAAGTTGCACAGATGGATATCGCTAGTAAAGTGCAGCTAGTAAAAGAGATGCAGAGTTTTGTGGATGATGACGATACACGGTCTATATCTACCACTGGTAGCGACCTTGACGAGGATAGCAGCATCACTGTAGACGATTCACCGAAGATCAGGCGTAGGAAGACAATTATTCGACTGACAAAGAGGAAACGGCGCCAAGCACCTCAGGCTGGAAGTCTTGGAGGAAAGTTTCTTAACAATTTCATTGAATTCGCTAAGGATCTTGAAAAACGTGGAAGTGAACACAGCAATGACGGAGATAGGAAGAAGAAGAAAGGAAGCGACAAGGCGAGAAGCAAGAAAGCCATGCGGGCGTTAGAGTCTCTGGAACAGAACAAAGAGTCGGTTATTCATAAAGCAGAGGTTATCAAAGATAGATGGAAAAACTTGGCAAAGAAAGCGAAGTACGAAGGTCAAGGTAACAACTGGGGGTCACTGTTAAGGTCAGTAATGGGGCAATCTCGCACCAGCCTCAACACAATTTCAGAGGACGACAAACGGAACTCGTGGTTCCGAGGTTTTGCAAAGATGAGCCGGTCTAACAGTGAGTTCTCGTTACCGGATATGGGTTCCTGGTCAAACCGGAACAGTTACGCTGAGCCTATTTTTAACATAATCACAGACGGTATAGGACCGCCAGAGACATCGCGCCAAAGAGACAACGTGAAATCTATCGGTGTGATAAACAACGGCAAACCTGACAGAAATATGGATGTCATCATAGAAAGTTCCTCCCCTACCCGGAGGACAGAAAATATTTATGACACTGCGGATGGCGGGGCAGAACTCGTCAATGATTCTGACTCTGAAACCGAGGCTTCGGATGCCTCATCCTCACGGCACGTGTCACATGACAATGACATTGTACTGAGGCGAGTAACCACAACGGTGCCCAAGCCTACGAACGACACAGGTGATACACAGCTATGATCCGGGTCGTGTACATGTTTTAGTCAATGACATTTGTTAACTTATACACATCACTTTGTTATTACACTCGTTGTCTTTCAAAAAGTGCAACTTTGGAATATCTCGTCGTCATAAATATTATATAAACATTCATTGTGCCATATATTGTATAATGGATATGTATTGTTTTGATTGGTGCTTAATTGTTAGCATTGCGTCGATGTATTTGTGATATGTTCCAAAAAAACAAAATTGGAAAAACAAATATATAGATTTTTGTTCACATTTCCTTGACATCAGCTCAGACCAACAGATATCCAATACGCGATTTTAAGCACAAATTCTACAATTTGATTGCTCATATAGTCGATTGCTTTTTAAGAAATCTGAAAAGAAATTGTGTTAAAACTGTTATATATTTTGCTGTCAAAATATAGTCTGAAGAATCTTTAAAACAGATCTTCGATTGATATAGTCTTACTCAGGCATTCCATTTAATTGATTTTGAACGCGTACTTATGATAGAGTAGTCTAGTTATAGTCGGCCTCTGTACTAATTTAGTTGTAGATTCATTATGTAGTTCCAGTTTTCTGTATTGACATCAAGGCATAATGATATTTTACAAACAAGGTTGATTTTTTCCCTTATGTCTCTCGCTTCGTTTCTGTGTCGGATGTTTATCCCGTCAATAACAATATTACTTAATTAAACTCATTGCATAGACTTATACTTAGAACTATTTCAAAATAATTAATAATCAAACAAACAAGTTTAGTTTATAAAAATACTGATTTCATTGCACATTTGAAAGGACCTGGGCGTTATTGGTCGTTTTTGGCCTCATAAAAAGTAAAAACTTTAACTTGAATTTGTTTACCAATTTCTGTTTTAAACATCGTATCGGTAAATTGGGGCTGTGTTTTTCGGTGCACATTTTTTCCAATACGCATAAGTAAATGCCCTACCATAGCAACAAAATTGCGTTGCTATGCAGAAAAAGACAAAATAAGGTGTTAGCATGCAGAAATGAAAGCCTGCGCACGTGAAAAACAAAAAAAAACTTTCAACGAATGAACACTGGTATGACAATGTTCAAGCATGTCAAATTTTATCTTGTTTGTTGCATGCGAAGGCTTTCAAAAACTTAAAAGTGTTTACTTAATTTTCTTCAAAATGGTCAATTTTCAACCAATTAGCGCACACCAGACGATTTTATTATGAAAATGTTGGTTTATGTCTCCCTTTGTAATGCCATATATCCTAAACCAGTTGTCGAATGAATTTGATATTTCATATTGCAATACTTCATTTATTCTAGATAACAAATATAACAACTAATTCAAAATCCCCGATGAGGCCAGAAATTACCCTTTACGCCCCTATTCCTTTACTGTCATGTAAGATCCAAATTCTTCTTCTCTACATAGCTGGGGGAAAAAAAATATTTTAATTTCTGCATATTTTAGCATGTGCCATGCGTCCGGTACCCTGCTACGCATACAATATTTTAGTGTTTAAGTCCGGAATTGTCTCGTTTTCAATATTACATTTGATTTTATGCAAATAAAGTCTTTTCGTTTCGTTGACAGAGATAAGACCAAAAACAAAAAGGACAAACAAATAAATGCTGTTCTAGCTTAGCTTGTCAGAAAAGAAAACGATCACGCGCTGTATAGCTAATAATTACTGCTAAGTTAAATTCAGTCCAATTTAAATGAGTTGCCTATATGTCCATGCCGAGAACTGGAACAAACACACACATGATATTTAGTATGCACGGATGTCCACGTGACATAAGCGTACCTCGGGTCTGATTGATATTACACGTGTGAATAACTGCTATGCATGAGAGTTACTGGTATGTATGAACCATGTTTTATATATTTATCTTTTTGTATATACTGCAATACGTAAGAGGATTAATGTGATTATATATATGTTGCAAATGTCTAGTTTTATCATTGTTACATTTTATCAATAACTCATCAATGCTTGATCACTTGCCACAAACAGCTAGATGCGCATATTGTATCAGTATTATATCAAATATATCGAATTCCTGGTTGAATTATTGAATTTTACTTGTTTAACGTAATTTGATTGGCTAATATTTAATGTCAAATTATTCGTTTGTTTTACGTGATTTGATTGGCTTATTATTTGTTGTCAATGCATTTTTTTGGTTTACGTTATTTGATTGGCTTAAAATGATATATAGACAGAACAAAATCAAGTCTATCTGCATGATTGTAGCCGATCTGTAAAGGAGGAACACTGATCCCTCACGCTAATAAAAGTAGAATATGGTGCTTATACAATTTAAAGCTGTACTTACATGAATGTATACGGGATATATCAGTTGTATTGGTGTAAGGAACCAATGAGTCAAAAACCTTCACGAATCTGTCAGAGATACACGTAATAATACAAGTACATGTACATGTATAATAAAAGATATGACAAATATAAGGTTCTTAAATTTCTGCTTTTGTAAATGCCAAAACTGCAATGAGATGTTGGAGAAATATATTCTGGTGCTACAATACAGGGTATATATATATATATATAGGTATGATACAGGGTATACTATTATGTAGGTATATCACAGGGTATAATATTATGTATGTATAATACAGGGTTAACAGGGTAGGTGGGAAGTACATGTATAACACAGGGTATACTATTATGTAGGTACAATACAGGGTTAACGGGGTAGGTGGGAAGTACATGTATAATACAGGGTATCTTTATGGTGCTTTGAACCCAAAACGTGCTGTTATGTAAATTTTCCTCACTTTGTCGATCTGATTTGTTATGACGATGTTTTCTTGTATGCCGAACTGCGGTATTGTTGTTGCCTGTTACCTGTGTGTGTTTTGTTAAGTCGGTTATTTACACTTCTCCTGTTATGTCGATACTGTAACTGCTGTTTTGTGGATGTTTCCTGTTTTGTCGATCTGTTTTGTCGATGATTATAATACATGTATGTAGCAGATTTGTAAATGTTTATTGAAAAGTCGATATTTGTTTTTTCTAATTTTTCTCTATTTCCTGAATTATATGAATGTTAGAAACTATGTTCATCCGACACGATATTTATTCCTACTTCTCTTTCAAATAAAGATAAATCGAGAAACAAATTGTTTGTCTTTCATTGAAAACATCTGGTTAATTTTTAACCTAAATAAATGCCAGAAACCTTTCATTATCATGTGTATAGGATGTGATCGACACATGTGTTGTGGTCCGCGTCCACATAACCTATATCGGTGAGTGATTGTTCTGTTTGAAGGTATAGTAAACGAAATCTACATAATTCAGATGAAATGATTAGCTAAATATACATGTAGTGAATATTATTAGTACACCTGACTAGATGAAGTTAATATCTTTTTTTATTAAATCAGTGAAAACCTGCTGAAATACGAATGCTCTGTGTTCACTCCTCCAATTAGACGTAATTGTAGAAAACAACACCATGCAGAGGCGCCATTTGGTGTATTTTACAACTTTTATTGAATAATCTTGTTGGCCTGGATGTTATTGAGCGAGGGTCTTAATGAAGAAGGAAAACGGAGTTCACGTTGGTTTTCTCTGGGTACTCGGATTTCTTTCCACATTAAGACTCCCCGCGCGCTGATATCCGTGCCAACAAGATAATATAAGTTGTAAAACCTTGTTTCATAACTGTTGTAAAATAAATCAAGTTTATATTACATTAGGTAGTTACACGCCTGCCGATACAGTGTATTTTCTGGTGCCACGCCCACAACACCAAAAATAACTGCACATACTCTGATAGTTACTATGTACCAAGGGAACGCTCCGTTCACTCTTTTAAGAAGAGTTCCAATCGTAAGTAAAGCATACGTCTATGTCTTCGTTTACGTTCATACTTACCACTTTGCTTGAAAGGGATCTAAAATAAGTGTAAATAGAATCTTAACTCGACTTTATCTGCGTTAACGTCTACGTGTAATTTTACGATCTTAATCCTGTGCCTCTTCAACCTGATGTTATTTTCTCCCTTTACTTTCTATCTACAGTTTGCTTCCTAGTGACCATCGAGGTAGAACAGATGAAAAAGAAAATGTAACAGACAGTGCGGGGTTCGGACCCGGGACCCTCCGAACTCTAGACGGACGCTCCATCAATTGAGCTATCTGGTCGCCGACGATCAACTCAGTCGAGTTCTGCTACATTTCTAATATTTCACTTCTGGCTTCAGTGCTTGTCGTTCACCATACACCCCACTTTGATATGTCCCGGCCTGGGAACAAACCCATTGCCTTCTTCACCTGGACGGACGCTCAATATTACTGCCATGTGATGTGATATGAAGGTTACGATAGCGATATTAATGATGTGAAGGTCACGAGGACCATATTAGTGATGTGAACGCCATGAGGACGATATTAATGATGTAAAGTCACGAGGACCATGTAAATGATGTAAAGGTCACGAGGACCATATTAATGATGTGAACGTCATGAGGACGATATCAGTGATGTAAAGGTCACGAGGACCATATTGATGATGTAAAGGTCACGAGGACCATGTTAATAATGTGAAGGTCACGAGGACCATATAAGTGATGTGAACGTCATGAGGAGAATATCAGTGATGTAAAGGTCACGAGGACCATATTAATGATGTAAAGGTCACGAGGACCATGTTAATGATGTGAACGTCGATAATACGATATTAATGATGTAAAGGTCACGAAGACAATATTAGTGATGGGAGGGTCATGATAACGATATAAGTGATGTGAAGGTTATGATAACGATATAAGTGATGTGAAGATCACGAGAACGCTATTAGTGATGTGGAGGTAATGTGAACGATATAAGTGATGTGAACGTCGATCATACGATATTAATGATGTGAAGGTCATGGTAACGATATTAGTGATATGAAGGTCATTCTAACGATATTAGTGATGTAAAGGTCATGATAACGATATTAGTGATGTGAAGGTCACGAGGACAATATTAGTGATGTGGAGGTCATGATAACG